CGTGGAACTTTCCGGCATAACCCGATAACCTTCTCCGGTATAACCCGAGGACCTTTCCGGCATAACCCGATGACTCTCCCGGTATAACTCGTGGACCTTTCCGACATAATCCGATGACCTTGCCGGCATCATCCATGGACCCTTTCCGGCATAACCCGATGACTCTCCCGGCATAACCCGTGGACTTTTTCGGCATAACCCGATGACCTTCCCAGTATCACCGGTGGACCCTTTCTGGCATAACCCGATGACCTCCCCGGCATAATTCGAGGACTTTTCCGGCATAACCCGATGACCTCCCCAGCATAACCCAAGGACCTTTTCCGGCATAGCCCAATGACTTCCCCGACATAACCCGAGGACCTTTTCCAGCATAACCTGTGGACCTTTCCGGCATAACCCGATGACCTCCCCGGCATAAATCGAGGACCTTTTTCGGCATAACCTGATGACTTTCCCCGGCATAATCCGAGGACCTTTCCAGCATAACCCGATGACTTCCTCGGAATAACCCGAGGACCTTTTCCGGCATAACCTGATGACTTTCCCCGGCATAACCCAAGGACCTTTCCGGCATAACTCGATGACCTTCCCCGGCATAACCTAAGGACCTTTTTATAGACATTCCCGGCATAACCCGAGGACCTTTTTATGGCATAACCCGATGACTTCCCCGGCATAACCCGAGGACCTTTTTCCGGCATAACCTGATAATTTTTTCCAGCATAACTTGGTAATCTTTTCCAGCATAGGGTACCGCTCCCTAGCGGATGCCAACATAACCTGGTAATTTTTTCCAACATAGGGTCTCACTCCCTAGCTTTTCCAGCATAACTTGGTAATCTTTTCCGGCACAGGGTCTCATTCCTTAGTTGATGCCAGCATAACCTGGTAGTCTTTCCAGCTTAGGACCTCCGTTCCCCATTTGATTTCATTTTAGATATAGGGATCTACTCCCTAATCTATTTTCTCCCAAGGATACACAATCCTGTTTTATTACATTCAATGAAGAAGTAGTTTAGATTTTTGTTACAATAACTCACGAAATTTTCCTAGTGAAAAATGGGGTGAAATTTTTGTTTGTTTGTTTGTTTTGGTGCCTAAACAGGTTTTTACTGTAAGGCACGAGGTTGAGATGACCAAAAGAAGAAGTCTCAATCCAAATAAAAGAAATAAAAAACAAGAAAAAAAGTTGAACTTTAAGTGTAGAAGCGGAGAAAAGATGCGGACTGCTTAAGATGTGATTGAAGTCACAAGTTTTGCATGTCCCACCTTGATCCGAAAAGCTGAAGAAGAATGAAACAGTGGTTGCAGCTAACGAGCATCAAGATTCAAATTAGAGTTTGTAGGAAGAACCAACCAAGACCCAAGATCAAGCTTTAGAAGGTTTATAGATAGGAATCTTGTAACTCGTAGCTGATAGGCTTATCTAGTTTAGCTTTTCATTTTTCATTTTGGAATAATAAGGAGCTCAGCAAGCAGCAACAATAGTAAAATCACAGTTTCACGATAGTCACAGCTACCAAAACTTTCAGAACTACACCGACCTAATTCCTTTATAGCCAAGGATATGTAGGCAAACGTTTTCAAAATTCTTCCAAATGGAGTTTCAAACGGGCAAAAATTGCTCGAAGTTGCTCACTTTATCTTTTCCCAAAAACTCTTCATGTTTCCGAGCAAAGAGGGGCAACTGTGAGCACCTAATTTTTGTCTACATGAAAATAACACCTAAAAATAGACCAAAAATAATTTTAATTAATTTTTACAAGTTTTTCTTTATTTAGTTGCATTTCATGCATGTTTATTGTTTATAACATCATAGAAAAATCATAACATTTATCACGTTTTAATTTCATGCCATCTTAGGTTCAATTTGCATGTAGGAATTAATCTTAATAAGCAAAAAATCACAAAAAATGATCATTTTTACATATTTAGCCTTTAAAATTAGCATTTTTCTTTAGTTTCAAGTTAATTAGTTATTTTAATATTAAAAATAGATAAAAAAAATTTAATTTCAAAAAAAATAAATTGATAAAAAAAGAAAGAAACAAAGAAAGGGAAATGAGTACAATATTTGGTCTGGGCCAATTCTTTAAAGCCCAATTTCCCTCTTTCTTGCCCAACCCAAAATCCCATCTCCTGGCCCGCCTGACCAAAAAGCCCCTCCCCTTTAATTAAAAAACCCAGCTAAAGACCTAAGAGAATCAGATATTTTCCTCCACAGAAAAGAGCAAACGACGCATTTTACAGTAGAGCTCCCTTTTTCTTCTTCAATATTTCTCCAAACCACACCCAAAAGGAAGCTAACGATCAGAAAACCTTCCCATTGAAAGAAACTGAGGAGCAGCCACGCATCACAAAAGCAGCAAAAACCGAGGTCTGAGACAGAAAAAGGAAAAGCCACCGTAGTTGGAAAATCTGAGTTTCTAGATCTGAAAAGCAACGAAAAATCATAGAAATTTTTTAGAAAAAGACAGAACAAAAAATAGTAAAAGAGAATTTTTAGTTTGTTGTCATTTCTACGGCGATTTTATACCAATTATGTTTCTTCAAGTGGACTTTTAATCAAGAACAAAGTTGTTTTTGCATTGTTCTTGCTGTTGATCTTGCTGAAGTTATCTTAGTGGAGATTTTCTTAGCCTTTATTTTGCAAACATCTCATTTTCAGCTACAAGTCTAGGTACATACCTCTTCACTTGTATCTTTAGTTCTGATCTATGTTGAAATATTAGTTTCTTTCCCTTTTCTTTTCTTTGAAATTAATTGCTGCAAGTGTATAAGTTTACTGTTTGTTTGGTTTTGAACACAAATTGAATGTTTAGCTGCCTGCTTCAAAAGGGAATAAGTGTATGCTTCTGCCTATGAAATATCAAATTTAAGCTGCCTGTTGAATTGTTTGACTGATTATAAAAATTCATGAAATCCGTATTATCGTCTATTATTCAAAATGCCGAGATAGAATGTGTATTCTCAATTCTCCGTCTGTCAAAATGTGTGTGGCTTGATGAGTGTGTGACAATGTGTGTGTAGTGCGCTTAATTTTGTAAATATTGTTAGTAGAATATACCTTTTAGCTTCTTTTCGAATTTTCTTGATCGGATAAAAGGGTCAGAGCTAATGTGAAGTAATACAGCTACAAAATTATATTGTCGTAGGAAAAAATATGGAACTGTGTGTTTGTTAAGTAAGACATGAAAGAGTGATTTAATGTGTAGTCACCCTTGAGCCAAACATAATGAAAACTGAAGGCACTTGGGCAGAAAACTTTACTTCTGTCCCTTCCCTTCTATATGGGGTGTAACTATTCCGTATATATGTGGGGTGTTCAGTAAAGTACTTATAATATGAGAAGACTTAATTACCTAATGGAAGTTGAGGCTTGCTTATATTGAAGTCTCATATTATCTGTGTCTGCCCCTACACATTTTATCTATTGTTGATTTACTCCAACTTTTTAATAACTCTGTTTGCTAATTGACTACTACTTATGGTATCAATATGTTGATAAACTTGGATAATTCATACTTTTGCTGCATTATGTTGTCATAATTTAAGATTCTATTCTCAGATATAGGAAGTTGTATTTGTGTGCATGTTCATCTGTGATATCTAAATATGTTACACTGCAGTATGACGATTCGGGTTCATGTAAAGTTGGTTAAGCTGATCTAAATAGATAATTTCATATTTTCTTTTTTCACTTTAAGAAAAAATGGGGATTGTGAATAAAAGACATGCTAATAGGTAAATTTCTACTTAATTATACAATCTTGGTTCTATTACCTGGTAACTCTTGCATTAAACTTATTACGTTTGTTGATGGTATGCAAAATTTTAAACTTAGGAAAATAGATACTTATAGATACGCTTTTAGGCGCGGCTTAAATTATTGTGATTGTGTACACGTTTGCGTGACATAATTACGATTTCAAAAATAAATCGAGGTATGCATTCGTGCAACTTCGACCAAACTTTCTTAATAATAATAAAATGTGATTAATTATGGACACGTATGCGTGACATGATTTTTGATGCACCAAACGAAATGAGTATACGTACGCGTAACTCATCTTAAGTTAATTATTCAAATCCGGATTATCAAGTGATTAATAGCGGTAAAAGGTAAAATAAACATAGGTCCTAAAATGAGTAATTAGACAAAATAAGTTAGGTATAAATTGCTAAGCGACCGTGCTAAAATCACGGAACCTGGGAATGCCTAACACCTTCTCCCGGATTGACAGAATTCCTTATCTAGAATTTCTGGTTTGCAAACTTTTAAATAAAATCGAAAATTTCATCAATTTGAGATTTTAAAATAAACCGGTGACTTGGGACATCCTAAACTATTCCAAGTGGCGACTCTGAAAATTGAATAAAATAATCTTATTTCGAATAATGTCACTTAAATTGGAAAAATTACCTTATACCCCCTCTCGGGTGGTAAAAAGGAGGTGTGACACGTCACACAAGCGATATTTTTACCGCAGATGCGGTACCTCTTGGAAGAAAGTATAAATTGTGGATTTCGCAAATTTTGGTTCATTTTCCACCATTTTTAGTCAGTTTTGGAGCTTTTGAGAGCGCTTTTGAGGAGGAATTCAAGGGTTTATCAGTAAGGTAAGTGGCTTGAGACCTAATACTCGTATATGTGATGATTTTTCGTTGTTTAATCATGTAATTTATGAAGATTAGGGGTAAAAATGAGGGGTTAGGGCTTGGGACTTTTGGAGAGTTTGATTGAGAACTTGAGGGGTCAAATGGAGTCAGATTTTGATAAATTTGGTATGTATGGACTCGTCAGAGAATAAAGATTCTAGTTTTGTGATTTTTATCAGATTTTGAGACGTGGTCCCGGGGGTCGGGTTTAGCCAATTTTGGGAATTTTGATTTAATTTGATAATTTTCGCGTGGGCCTTATTACTTTAGCATGTATTGATGATATGATTTTGATTTTGGATAGATTCGGGATGATTTGAGGCCGAGTCGAGCGGCAAGGGCATTGCGGTGTAGATTTTCATCCGGTTTGAGGTAAGTAATGATTGTTAATCTTGTCCTGAGGGTATGAAACCCCATATTTCACATTATTTCACTACTTTGAGGTGTCACACACGCTAGATGACGAGCATGAGGCGTGCACCATTGGGGATTGTGACTTGGTCCGTCCCGTACGACTATTAAGTCACATATTTGATTGAAAACTATTTGATACTATTGTGTTTTGGAAAGTATTACTATGTTTTGGGATGAATGTCATATTTGGGCCTCGTGCCAACTGTTGGGACCCTTAGGGGTTTTTTAATACTATTCCTCACTATTTTAACTTAATATTTGTACTCGGTCATGCTATGTTTTACTAATTTCATAACTCAGCCTTATTTACTCACTGTTGATACTATAAATGATATTTTGGGTTGAACGTCCTGTTTTACTGTTAGCCCGAGTGGCTTGAAAGGTTTCTGACTAAGTGAGGCCGAGGGCCTGTGTTGTGAGGATATTATGGGATCGGGTTGCACGTCGCAATAGGTTGTTACTGATTCATGATATTGTGAGGCCGAGGGCCTGATTGATTTATGCCACGAGGTGGCTTGTTGTTATAAGGTTGAGGGACTGATTAATTTATGACACGAGATGACTTGTTATAGAGCTTGGGTTGTAGGAGCCCCTTCGGAGTTTGAACACCCCCAGTGAGCGCGGGTATCCAGAGTGAGTGATATGATGTTGCCCGAGGGGCTGATCTTGATTTATGTTATGCCCGAGGGGCTGATTTCGAGTGACTGTGAGATAGCCCGAGGGGCTGATCTTGATTTATGTTATGCCCGAGGGGCTGATTTCGAGTGACTGTGAGATAGCCCGAGGGGCTGATTTTGAGTGACTATGAGGTAGCCCGAGGGGTTGGTTCTGATTGATGTTATGCCCGATGGGCGATTTATGATACATGTCTTGCCTAAGGGGATGTTTCTGATTTATGCTACCCGAGGGGCTGTATATGAGTGAGCTTTGCCCGAGGGGTTGATTATGTTTTCACTATTTTTTACTCACTATTTAATCACTTCGTTTGAAAAATTATTGAAAGACATTTTCAAAGGATTTTTACTGAAATTGGATTTTTAACAAGATGATTTGATTTATATACTGTGTTGGAAACATACTGTACGTGTAGTGGTGTTATAGTGTGGATTATGTATTTTCTTACTGCTCAGTCTTTATTTACTTTTATTACTTAATGAGTTGGCGTACTCATATTACTCTCTGCACCTTGTATGCAGATTCAGGTATTTTTGAACCCGGTAGCGGGTGTTGATCACTCAGTGGCAGGTTCATCGGAGTTAGTAAAGTAGCTGCCTAACGATAACTGCCTTGCTCTCCTCCCTCCTTATTCTCCCTTAGTTGCAATCAGTAATTTTCCCAGCCATGTTGGCCTTGATGTTGTCACACAGTTGTAGTAGATGCCCATGACTAGTGACACACCGATGTCGGGCTTTCTTTCCACACTGTTATTTTGTTTTAAACACTTTTAAAGGTTTAGTGTTAAATAGCTTATATTTTATCCTAAGAATAAAAATATTGATTGGTTTTGGGTTTTTGTCGGCTGGCCTAGTTCCATGATAGGCGCCATCATGACCGGGTTGTTTTGGGATCATGACAATATATGTAAGCAAAGCATACAAGCATATGATGTTCATCTATATCTCCACCAAGTTTTAACACCGTACCAATCAAGATACTCACACTCGACCTCGTTCGAATTAACTAAGAGTAACATTCGACCTCTCTCGAGTCAACTCACAATCGACCTTGTTCGAATTAACTAAGAGTAACATTCAACTTCGCTCGAATCAACTCACATTTGACCTCGTTCGAATTAACTAAGAGTAACATTCAACTTCGCTCGAATCAACTCACATTTGACCTCGTTCGAATTAACTAAGAGTGATGAATATAAATTATTCAAGTATTTTCATACGTATAAATAAGGATTTTTAAATAAAGCATGAATAAATATATTCGATTCTCCTATACTTTCTAACAACTTTTGTAGAGGAAAGATGAATTGAATCAAAACAAAGAGGAAAAAGAGAAATGCACGTGGTAAACAAAAATGAATATAACTTTGAAGTCACAATATCAAATTTTAAAGTTACAACATCAACTTTTGAAGTCACAATGTCACGATCCCGATTCGCCCTCCATGAACCATTGTGACGGCACATAGCCCCTACGACTAGGTCAGCCTAACAATGCAAAAAATAAACCAATTTGCAGAAGAAATAATTTAAAACAGAAGTAGCGAAATAAAACAGTAATTTAAAGTGTTGCTTGGCATACACAATATCAACTCTCGAAAGCTAAATATTTTTCCCAAAACCCGGAATCTAATGATCACAAGCCAATGAATGTCTACAAGTATCTAACTCTAGAATATCTAACAAAGGAAAGAAAATACAGAAGGGCTAATACTTAAAAAGGAGAGTAGAAAGGGACTCTTCGGTCTGCGGACGCGGCAGATATACCTCGGAGTCTCTACAAGTGCCTCATCTAGAGCATGATAAGTCTGAGTGGAGGTACCTGGATCTGTAAATGAAAAACATATACAGAAAGGGCATGAGTACACCACAACGGTACTCAGAAAGTGCCAAGCTGAACCTCGGTCGGGTAGTGATGAGGGAGGTTAGGGCCCTACTGAGATTAAATGAAATATAAGATGCGACAGTATAAGATAAAGCAGTACATTTGAAAGATAACAATAAGAATTAATACATGATAATAAGGATAACTACAACTGAAAAAGGCAAAAAAACAATCACCAGGAATACCACTCTTCACAAAGATAATAACCGGGGATCTCTCAGTATCCCGAGGATCTCTTAGTACCCTCAATATATGCCAGGGATCTCTTGGTATCCCGAGGATCTCTTGGTATCCTCAATATATACTAGGGATCTCTTGGTATCCCGAGGATTTCTTGGCATCCTCAATATATGCTAGGAATCTCTTGGTATCCCGAGGATCTCTTGGTATCCTCAATACATACTAGGGATCTCTTGGTATCCTCAATATACGTGCTGGGGATCTCTCGGTATCCCGCACCTCAGCTCAAATCATAAAATACGTACATGGGATCTCCCGGGATGCCGTCCCGTAGTCCCAAAGTAAAACACACAGCAATAACACAAAGAATACTCAATGAAACTCAATTCTGTACCAAAGTAAAACAGGTAATTCTAACCTAACATGCTTCACATAATACAAATAAGGCAGTTTAAGCAATAAGACAATTAAGTCAATTAAACATGCTTCTCTAAGCTAACAGCAGGCTTAAATTTCAAGTAGAATAAGAAGGAAAGGAAAACATAATTAAAGCTACTTTAGTGAAAATAGGATTTTCAATAATTAGCACAAGTACGCACTCGTCACCTCACGTACAAGGCATTTCAATTACCACAAATACCAAATCCTAAGGGGAATGTCTTCCACGCAAGGTTAGGCAAGCCACTTACCTCGAACCAGCTCAAAATCAACCCGAAACCATGTTCTTGCCACGAGTACTCGACTCCAAATGGCCCAAATCTATTCAATTCAATTGCATAATGTAAATAACACTTCAAGTAACTGATTCTACAATTAAATTCTAAGCTAATATGCAAAATTAGGTAAAATGACCAAAATGCCCCTCAAGCCCACGTCTCGGAATTGCATAAATTTACATTTACAGAATCTTCACACTCTCACGAGTTCAGTCATACCAAAAGTATCAAAATCAGACCTCAAATAGTCCCTCTAATCATCATTCAAAGTCTCTAATTAATCAAGCCCCAACCCCCAAATTACCACTGATTTTCCCTAAATTTTCATGCTTATAATGATAAAAATTACTCCAATAATGAGTTTAGGGATCAATGACCTTAACCCAATTAATTCCTCTGAAAATCTCCCTTGAAAATGCTCCCCAAGGCTTCTTCCCGTTTGAAAAGAGGTGAAAATAACTCAAATTTCGCGAAGGCAACTATTTATATGTTCTGCCCAGTTAATCCGCTTCTGCGGCTCTGGGACCGCACCTACGGGACCCAACCATAGATGCGGGTGTGACAGAAATCAGCAGCTTCAGCTGCTTCAAAGCACTTCCAATTTTTCCGACAACCCTCCGAAATCACCCCGAGGCCCCCGGGACCTCAACCAAAAATACGAACAAGTCCTATACCACTATCCAAACTTATACCAATCCTCAAAACACCTAAAACAACATCGAAACATCTAATTAACTATGGATTCAAGCCTAAGAACTCCAAAAAATCTCAATTTACTCTTTCGATCAAAAAGCCTATCAAACCTCGTCTGAATGACCTGAAGTTTTGCACACACATCACATTCAACACTATGGAGCTATTCCAACTTCCGGAATTCCATTCCGACCCTTGGATCAAAATCTCACTATCGAACCAGAAACTTCAAAATTCGACTTTCGCCATTTCAGACCTAAATTAGCTACGGACCTCCAAAACACAATCCGAACACGCCCCTAAGCCCAAAATCACCCAACGGAGCTAACAAAACCATCGAAATTCCATTCTGAGGCCGTCTTCACATTGTTTCTACTACCTCAAATTTCCAAAACTTAAGATCACATTTAGGAACTAAGTGTCCCAAAACTCTCCGAAACTCAAAACCGAATATCCCGGCAAATCAAAATAGCAGATAAATATGGGGAAAGCAGTTAATAGGGGATCGGGGCGTAAATTCTTAAAACGACCGGCCGGGTCGTTACATCCTCCCACATTTAAACTTCCATTCATCCTTGAACGAGCATATAAACATACCTGAAGTAGTGAAAAGATAAGGGTAACGGCTGCGCATATCCTGCTCGGTATCCCAGGTCTCCTTCTTGACCGGCTGACCCCGCTACTGAACCTTCACTGATGCAATATTCTTTGACCTCAGCTTTCTAACCTGCTTGTCCCATATTTCCACTGGTTCCTCAACATAAGATAGATTCTTGTCCAATTGAACTGAACTGAAATCTAACACGTGCGACAGATCACCGTGATACCTCCAGAGCATAGAAACATAAAATACCGGATGAACTCCTGCCAAACTGGGAGGTAAGGCAAGCTGATAAGAAACCTCCCCAACACGCCTCAATATCTCAAAAGGGCCAATAAACCTCTGTAACAACCCGACCGATCGTTTTGAGCTTTTGCACTTTGCTCACCAGTTCTCGGGCATGGCTTGCCCCGTGTGATGTTTTATGACTTATGTAAATCGTTGGTTTGGTTTTCAGGGTAATAATTTATTTGGAAGAACATTTCTCAATTTGAAGCTTGAAATTTGAAAGGTTTGACCAAGATTTGACTGGTTGGTATATGATCGCGGTTGCCCGAGTGGCTTATGTTATTTTGATTGAGTAAGGCCGAGGGCCTGTGCTGTGAGGATACTTTTGGGTCGGGCTACACGCTGCAACGGTGATACATTGATTATGATTATGAGGCCGAGGGCCTAAGATATGTACGCTACGAGGTGGCTTGTCGATATGAGGCCGAGAACCTAGTGATGATGCCACGAGATGGCTTGATATTACGCTTGGCCGAAAGGGGCCCCTCCAGGAGTCTGCACACCCCCAGTGAGTGTGGGTACCTATTATGATGTGAGATATAGCCCGAGGTGCCGGTATTGTTGACATTGTGCCCGAGGGGCAATCCTTTATGTGCTTACCTATCTTATTTGTCTGTCATTTACCTGTTTAATTGCGTATTTGTGCTTGAGGGGCAGATTTTCTGTGCTTATCTGTTCTAATTTCTTTGTATTCAATTGCTTAACTATTGAAAAGTTATTTTTAAAGAAGTTTAAACTGAGCTAAGATGCTTTAAGAAATTTCATAGCTTCATTGTTTTCTTACTTGTTTTGTACTACTTTTATTTAGCATGTTGATTTACTTTTCATGATTTCCTATCACTCGGTCTTTAGTTATGATTATTACTCACTAAGTTGGAGTACTCACTTTACTCCCTACACCATGTGTGCAGATATAGGTATTTCTACACCCGGTAGCAGGTATTGGTTGATCAGAGGCAGAGTCTTTGGAGTTTAGCAAGGTAGCTGCCCGACATCCGTAGTATTGTTTTTCTCCCTTTGATATTATTAGACCGCATTTAGTACATTTACAGAAATTTCGTTGTATTTTAGACCTTAGTAGATGCTCGTGACTTGTGACACCCCGGTATCGGGCTGTGTTGGGTTGTTCTTCTGAATATTTGTACTGTTGACTGCTTAAATGTTGGACTAATTATCATATTTTAGACTTAATTCTCATTGTTAACTGCTTAAAACTGAAATGGGTAAGTGTCAGCTGACCTTGTCTTCATGAGAGGCGCCATCACGACTGGGTTCGAGTTTAGGGTCGTGACAAGTTGGTATCAGAGCCTAGGTTACATAGGTTTCACGAGTCATAAGCAGGTTTAGTAGAGTCTCACGGATCAGTACGGAGACGTCTGTACTTATCCTCGGAAGGCTGCAGAACCTTTAGGAAAAACTTCACATTCTTGAATTCTTATCGTGAGT